CACATCAACCACATCAACCACATCAACCACATCAACCACAACAACCACAACAACCACAACAACCACAACAACAACAACAACAACAACAACAACAACAACAACAACAACAACCACAACAACCACATTTTTTGCATTGCACTCACTGCCAGAATCAGCATGTGGACCTCTGATCACTTTGGATCCTCGGCACGTCGGCTACTCTGTATCCGCCTTGGGAGCTCCAGCAGTCTTTGCTAGTTCGTACTTCACGCCCCTCAGGGCTGCTGAAAGGATTGTTGTGCACAGCTATGTTCGAGTATGTGGAATGCATCCGCCCCTCAGGGCTGCGATAGCGCTGTGCTGGCTGGGCACCCTACGACCGCTTCCTACTGGCTCACCTGCACCCGCGACTGCTGCAGTGCCGGCTGGCCCCGATGTTGTGTTGCAGGCTATAGCTGTGCGCTAGCTGAGTTTGGTGTGATTAAGGCGGGCAAGTGTGATATAGAAGGTCTCACCCGCCTTTTTTATTTCACAGTCCGGCCTTTTGGACTTCGAGAGGATCGCTTCCTCCAGATTGCCAGGTCTCACTACCTGCTATACTGAATCTGATTTGGCAGAGTACTTGAGGAAATCAAGAGGACATCTCCTGGTCTGATGCAGCGAAACGATGAAGAAATGAAGTTCGCACGGAGGCAGCCTCCGATATCAAGTACTCAGCACTGCAAAAGAGGAAAAGTAAGCGCGGCTACCCCGACACCCTACTGTGAGTCACTGCGTCCAGCACCCACGCACCAGCTGTTTAGCGAGCCGTACCTCTGGTGAGGCCGACACTCAGCGTTCCCGTCTAGTGACGTCTCACACAGGTAACGCTAAACAACTGGCAGAGGGCCGTAGGCAGAGCGCACCAAGGCGGCCTTGCACGTTCCAAGTAGGATGCCCAAATTGGATGCAGGGAAGCTGAGTTTGCGAAGCCTGACCTGGGACGCCTTGCGCGGCTCCTGGGGCCAGCGCTGCGACAGGGCAAAATTTCACACCTGGTCGAGAAAATGTGGGGTTAAGGATATTAAGGAGGAAACCTCCTAATCTGATGCAATGAATCAACTTGCACGTTCCAAGTAGGATGCCCAAATTGGATGCAGGGAAGCTGAGTTTGCGAAGCCTGACCTGGGACGCCTTGCGCGGCTCCTGGGGCCAGCGCTGCGACAGGGCAAAATTTCATACCTGGTCGAGAAAATGTGACCCCAACTGACCGAACTTAACCCACCAGGCTGGAGGAGGTCTCACATAGGTACGAGTACTTTGCGAAGAGGGAAGCACCTGACCTGGGACACCTTGCACGGCTCTCGGGGCCAGCGCTGCGACAAGGCAGGTTGCATCCGAAAAAGTGACTCTAAGTTGAACCCACCGTCCTTGAGGAGGCCTCACATGTTCGGGGGGGAATTTTGCTGGGGTCAAAGGAAATGCGCACAGGGCTCTTACAGATGCTTCAGGTTCAGGGACAAAAATGGGTAAGCTTGGCCTTACGCTACAGCAGGCAGAACGGTCTACTGTAAGAAACACTACCGGGGAGGAAGCCTCCGGAGGAAACCTCCGCATGTGAAGGTTCATGCAAGAGACTGTACTTTTTAGCACGAGATCATGGCTTTATTGCGCGCAGGGCAGCATTCATGCCTAGTTGCCTTAAGCAACAGCAGGAAGATAGGTCTTCTTTAAGAAAGAACACTGCTGCGGAGGATGCCTCCGGAGGAAACCTCCGCATGCGTGCTTGGACTTGGCGGGTGCTGACAATTGGGCAAAGGCCTGCCTCATGGCTGCCTGGCTGAATCTAATCTCTTACATAGAAGGCCAAGTACGATCCTCGGCATATTTGATCCGAGAGGAGCATGGTGCATCTTGGCGGATCACTATCATCAGCTAGGTACGCAACTCCATCTCTCCAAAACCCCGCTCGGTAATGTCCAGAGCTCCAGTCTTCGCCGATATGGATAATGAATGCATAGAGGCTAAAGGACACTGCTTCTGTTGAGGTTCCGTTATCTTGAAACATTGGCATCTCAAGAACTGTGTCCAGCGCTTGTGGGCGGGAAGTTTTGATTTGCTGATCAAATCTTTGAATTTGTAAGCAAATGAGTCTTGTATCTGGAAGCAAGGCAAACACACTACCCCTGTTCGTCCATTGTGTTACTGATTGCTGAAGAGTCGAGAGTCCATCCGGCGGCTCGGGTAGATACAGAATCAAGCCACCTTTTTCCTCAACACTTATGCGTTCCTCCGGTGCTGAGATATGAACTCGCGCCTCCCATTTATCTGATGAAAGATCTGGAATACGCTGAGAGATATGCAACAGAAATTGAGATGCATCCTCCTGCCTGGGTCGTAATCGCCATCCCGCTAGCAGCGGACGAAGATGTCGCAACCTCCGAACATCCGCATGAGAGGATCTGCCATTCAGGGAACCTATTTCCGTTAGGACGGAATTTAAAGAAGGATCTGGGAACAGCCCGTCTGACAAGAGAGAGATAAGGATATGAACGACCGTGTGTGCATAGCACAGTTGATGCGGATTATGATAAGCTAGACGCCAGGCAGCGTCTTGCATGGAAGCTGTGGGAGGTGCAGTGGTTGAACGACCCGAGACGCGTGCGGTGTATGTCAGCAAAGAAGCTCGGCTGCTGGAGGAAGCCTCCTGGGAGAAAGCCTCCCTTCCTCTCACCTGGCTAATTGGAGGATCTGCACTGAAGAGATCTGGCAGCTCCATAGGCTTGGCACAAGCTGCACTCATGGCGTATGTCTGAAGCAGAACCACACATTGCTCTGCATGGCGTACTGGAGCATCTACCACAATGCGACAATACCTACATCCTTCTTTTTTGTGCAGGAGGCGCTTATGTGTTCGCATGTTGGCAAGAATGGATGCCGAGGATTGTGCCCAGAAAGCGGGATGAGCTTTCTGAATGTGCTGTTTCACTCCTTTGTGGCCAACAATGTATTGCCCACAGAGACTGCAGTTCGTTAATAGATGCTGAGTGACATGTCTCTTTTTTAGTAGAAGATCAGGGTCCTTCTTAAGTTGTTCCTGCACGCTAGACTGATAGATCATAGCTATGCTTTCTGAGCTTGTACAGGATTTGGCTCGTTCTTTCAGCTCGTGCAGCTGAGGGCAAATGCCTGACTCCACATGTCTGCGAAGTTGATGCATTGTGCGCAACTGCCTGTTGCATGCCGCACATTGCGGAAGTCCTTTGCAGCTATGCACAGTGACCTGAAATTTTGGGCCTAGCTGATTCGCACGCTGTCCTCCATGCTTCACCAGAGTATGTTGCTGAAGACCCTTAGCGCTGGAGAATTGCCGATCGCACAGAGAGCACGGTACCGCCTGATCTGCCTCAGTCAAGTCTAAATGCATGCTCTGAAGCTCCAGTTGCAGCGCAACAATCCTACCTCTAAGTCCCAGATGCCTCTGTATGTTCTGATCCGGGTTGGACTTCTGATAGGCATCTAGTGCGTCTTGATAGTTTTTCATCTGGCTGATCAAAACTGCTTGAGGAGACTGAACCTTGTATTGCTCGAACAGAGTCTTCGTGTCAATATGGCTGTAGTGCTGATGTTGCTTAAAGATGGATCTTAGCATCCTAGAGTATTTACTCTGAAGCTTCTGAAGACCTGATGAGGTGACGCCAGTGGCCACAAGCCCATGCAAGAGTGAGGATTCCACATAGACCCTCCAGATCTCCAACTTCTTTGAAGCCTCCAAGGCCTTAGTGGAGCACAGGATGTGTCGAAGTAGCTCAAACTTGCCTTGAGCTTGGGCGATCCTATAGTCAACAGTCTGGTCTTTGTAGGATCCATAGCTGAGCTGCACCCCTAGATATGTCAGTTTGTGATGAATCGGAATCTTATGTCCTGAGGGAAGGACGATGTGCAACTGCTTCTCTTTGCGCATCGTGTGCTTCTTGCGAAAGATGGACTGCTGAGTGCCCTGAACCATTAGCAAGGCTTTGGACTTCGCTGGATTGACTTCCAGCCCCACGTCCTCAAGAGACTGAAAGAGAGCCTCTATTCTGAGCAGGACTTTCTGAAGTTCAGGAAAGCTCGAGAAGGTTTCCTGGAGCAGGAAATCGTCTGCAAAGACCGTTAGGATGTCCCTAGCTTGCTTGCTATCTGGGCCCCATTTCTGCTCCATTCTGCTCATGACTAGAAGTGTCAGCGCAGACCACAATGCCGGGGCTAGCTTACAACCTTGTTTGATTCCTGAAGAAGTGGGAACTTGAATCTCTAGTCCACCTGTGCCCATGTTGTAGGAGGTCTCACTGTGTAGTTGAACTACCAGTTCTTTCGTAACAGGGTCTGTTCCCAGGCGATCCAAGGCAGCTAGCAGCTCATGTCTATTAACAGAATCAAAAGCTTTGCTCAGATCAACCGAAATAGTGAGTGCCCCTGACAGCTGAGCCTGCTTGGCTCCGCGTTGGGACTTGTGCAGGTCCCGCCGATGCTCTTGACGGAGCTGCTGCGCGAAATCGAGGTGCTGACATGCTTTCGCGATAGCGTCCCGCACCCCCCTCTGCCGAATGTAAGCAAATTGAGGCTGAAGCTGGGAGCTCACCTGCAATGCTGGTGCAATGCGAGTCTTCACTGCGCCTGCTAGCACTTTGCCTGGCACGCTGATGACTCCTATGGGCCTCAGGTTTTTCATGGCGGTGGCTGGCTTGCCCGGCTTGGGGATCCATGCAATTCGAGGGTCCTTTAGATAAGGGGAAATTTCTGATTGAGACACCTCAGAGTTGATTAGACCTGCTATGTGTTCGTGGGCGTCAGGACCTAGACTCTTCCAAGCTGATACTGGGGCTGAGGTGCTGGGGACTGCTTTCCCTACTGGCACTGTCTTGATTTGCGAGGATACCTGCAAGGCGGTGATCGCTGTTCTGGGCACAGCGGCAACTGAGTGCAAAGGAGGACTTTTGGAGAAGATTTGATTCGAGTATTCGCGCATAGTTTTTAGCGAGGCCTCCGTATCAAGCGGCTCACCTGCTTGATCTCTTAGGTTGACTCTCTGCACTGGGCGCCACGGAGCAAGTTTCCTGAGAGCATGAGCCAGTTTGTGGGATTGTTGCCGTTTATCTTCCTGGGCTTGTAGAAGCAACTGCTCTTGCTTCTCTAGCTTTCTTTGTTTTTGCTGTTTTTTGAAAGCCCGCGCCTCCTCTTTGATGTCCTCCACAAGCTTCTGGCAGTCTGGATTATGCTCGGTTCCAGCCCGCTTGTGCGCCTGGATTTGCCGCACTTTCTTCCAATATTCCTGATGAATTGGACCTGCTGCTGGCTGAGACTTGCGTGGAGGAGGATAGTGCTCAGCTGATACACGAACCATCACTTCATCCAGTTCTTGCCAAGACGGTCTCTCTTGCATTGTCCTCACCACTGCTTCCGTCAGACGATGTGAGTATGCATGCCAGTTGTCATCTTTCCGCCGAAAGCTCGCATCCAGGGCTGTGGCATCAAACGGCCGTGGCTTGCTGGGCGTAGGACTGTAAGGAGGAATGAACAGAGTAGCTCGCACTGGAAAATGTTTTGATCCATCTCTGTAGGCAGCCACAGGAAAGTTCTTATCAGAGTAGGCCTCTTTGGATCTCCTCCGAGCATCGTGCAGTCTGACCAGCATAAAATCGATCTGCGAGGAATATGTGCCATCACTGTTAGTATACGTACTGCGATGGCCAGAAGCCCATGTGTTCAGCGCAGTGAGTCCACAGGATTTGCAGAGCGAGGGCAGCGTCTTCACATCCGCATTTGCAAACCGTACCGATGAGGCACACTTGGTCCGATATGAGGACGTTCAGTCACCGCATGCGCATTGAAATCCCCAGCCACAATCAAGAAATCACGTTGCGGGACTCTCTGTATTCGATTTTCGAGCTGTGTCATCACGTCCTTTCTCCTGCCTCTGTTTTCCGTCTTCGAAAGCTTTGAATCCCAGACGTGCTGATACAGGTTCAGGAGATGTATCCTGGATCTCTGCCACGGGATCATGACGTGCTGCAAATGCCCTGGAACAATGGAAGTGCTGCGAATTTCTGAAAGAGGAGCCAGTGAGCTATGCACCAAGACAACCAGGCCAGCCTTGTGTCTGCTTGTTGAGCCACAGGTTAAGACTGACCACGGGCCTGAGCTGTAGACCTGGTCCTGCTGCCAATGCGATTCCTGCAGGAAGACGATTTTGATGTTCTTGTACTCTGTTGTTGCCAAAAGGGCCAGAGTCTCGTTCCAAACTCGGCTTGTAATTGAGCCTGCGTTCCAAGTAAGGACTTCCATGTCAAATTTGTGATGGATCTGTCTGTTCGGTTGAAAAGATCGCTTCTCCGCTTTCGCAGGAGACGCGAATTGTCCTTCATGAGCTCCTAGAGCCTGAGCTGTCAGAAGACGGCCTTTGTAAAGTGCTGCTCCCTTCGCCAGGGCAACTTTACAAGCTCTTTGGTAGCTTCGCTTGCCGGTTTTGTTCATGGTTAGCTGACTTCGCTGCGCATGCTGCTCAGCTTCATCGGGGGGCGCTACTTCCCGAAACCCTCGATTCTGATCCATGGCTGGGCCCTGGGACTTGGGACCCAGGCACCCAAGAAAGCTCGCTACGGCTACGAGAAATAAAATCCTCATCTTGGGCCAGAATCTTAACGGCAACAACAACAACAGCAACAACAACAACAACAACAACAACAACAACAACAACAACAACAACAACAACGACAAAAACAACCACAACGACAACAACAACAACAACAACAACAACAACAGCAACAGCAACAGCAACAGCAACAGCAACAGCAACAACAACAACAACAACAGCAGCAGCAACAACAACAACAACAACAACAACAACAACAACAGCAACAGCAACAGCAACAGCAACAGCAACAGCAACAACAACAACAACAACAACAACAACAACAACAACAACAACAACAACAACAACAACAACAACAACAACAACAACAACAACAACAACAACAACAACAACAACAACAACAACAACAACAACAACAAACAACAACAACAACAACAACAACAACAACAACAACAACAACAACAACAACAACAACAACAACAACAACAACAACAACAACAACAACCAACAACAACAACAACAACAACAACCAACAACAACAACCAACAACAACAACCAACAACAACAACAACAACAACAACAACAACAACAACAACAACAACAACAACAACAACAACAACAACAACAACAACAACAACAACAACAACAACAACAACAACAACAACAACAACAACAACAACAACAACAACAACAACAACAACAACAACAAAACAACAACAACAACAACAACAACAACAACAACAACAACAACAACAACAACAACAACAACAACAACAACAACAACAACAACAACAACAACAACAACAACAACAACAACAACAACAACAACAACAAACAACGGCGCGCCAACGAAGCCTCGCGCGCGCACCCGGCCCCTCACAACTGGTGCGCGCGCGCGTGCGCGCATGTCGAGTGCCATGTTATGGAGTTATGCCAGCATCCTTCGAAATCCTGCCGCCCGAAACCCTTTCCGGAGCCGCTGATGCTGCTGATGCTCGCCCCCCGGATCCCCAAAGAGAAACGAAGCCTCGATGATGCGCACCCTGGCCCCCCGCCCGGCCGCGCATCATGAGCATCAGCGGCTCCGGCCTCCAGGCATGCATGGCTTATAGGGGCATATGCCGGCCTCAAAACGGAAATGTCCGTAACAGCACGAAAACCACGGTATTTACAGCGACTTCTGTGTTTTCCAAGCTCTCAGCCGCATCCGAAACCCAAAACCCAACCCGCTGATGCTCATGATGCGCGCTCTTGTGGGGGTCCTTTGGGGTGGCCAGTGCCACCCAAAAAACATCAGCAACGCGTATTTGGCCAAAGTTGAAAAAGAGAGTCGATGATGCTCTCCGGGGTCGTTTTTGGGACCCTCCATGGGGCACCCAAAAAATGCGTCCAGGAGCCCAAATTCGGTGGGGAATAGCGCGTTTTTCGCGATAAAAAATGTACCTGAAACATGATGCCCTTCGGAAGCCGCATTTGGAGCCGGATGTTGGGGAGCCAACCGGGTCAGCGGCTTAACCCCCCCCCCATAGCTAAAGCTAGGGCTGGCGCCTAACGGCGTCGGACCACGGGCGTGCCCGGATTTAAGAGCCTCCGGCTCAAGCCGCCGACCCCGCAGCAGAACAAGTTTAAGGTTTGGGGTTTGGTGATTTTGTTTGCGGTTCCTGTTGAGGGGGGGGTGGGGGGGGGGGGTTGGGGGGGGGGGGGGGGTAGGGGGGGGGGGCAGGGGGGGGGAGGGGGGGTAGGGGGGGGTAGGGGGGGGGTAGGGGGGGGGGTACACCCCCCCCTACCCCCCCCCCCCCTTTGGGGGGGTAAGGAGGGAAAGAGGGAGGTTTTCACCTCCTTTTCCCATCCAACACGCCGCCAGGGTCGGCGGACCCGAAACCCTAAACCCTAAACCCTAAACCCTCAACCCTCAAGCTTAAGCCCCAAACTCTAAGCCCCAAACCCTAAACCCTAAACAAAGCGAAGAATGAAGGCGTCGGGGCTGGTTGACGGTCTTCCCTACGCGTTCTTCGGGCACTCTTTGGGCGCACTCGTCGCCTTCGAGACCGCGAGGCTGCTCTTTTGTTTCTTAAGGGAGGGGAGTTCAAGGGGAGTTTAGGGTTTAGGGTTATGGGGGGTAGGTACCTAGGGAACTTAGGGAAGCTTAGGGAGCATGAGGGAGTAGTAGGGAGTATTAGGGAACCTTTGGGTGAGATACCCCCCCCTTGAAGCCTTCTCCCTTGCAAAACCCTGCAATCTTGGGAGCGGTTTTTTGCGAGGATGACATGAGGAGTTTTTTTTTTTGGAGTTTTTTTGGGTTTTGGGTTTAAGGTATTTGGAGTTTTTTTGGGTTTTGGGTTCAAGGTATTTGGGGTTTACGGTGTTAAGATATTTAGGGTTTAGGGATTAGGGTTTGGGTAGTGGGTTCGAAGAGGAGGTCTAGGTTGCAGGGTCAAGGATTACACCCTCAATCCCCAAAGGGTTCAGGGCTTACGGGTTGAAAGGGATGTAGTAGATTTCGTGCTTACGGGCCGTAAGGTCTCCAACCTGAGCCCCAATCAACCAAAGCTCTATCTAACCTCCGAGAACCCTAAACCCTAAACCCTAAACCCTAAACCCTAAACCCTAAACCCTAAACCCTAAACCCTAAACCCTAAACCCTAAACCCTATACCCTAAACCTTAAACCCTAAACCCTAAACCCCTGAACGTTGAGACCTTGAGTAGGGTCTTTTTGCGGGGTCCATTTGGTTTCCCCAACCAGCAGAGCATGGACTTCTTTGGCTATCATATGAAAGGCCCGATGCACTGAGCCCGAGACGTGTGCGTACTTTTCATGCTCTAGGCCCTAAACCCTAAACCGAAAACATCCGTTTCGTACTGGAAAAATATCAGGAAGTGGGCAAGAGTGTCAGAGGACAAGGAGAAGCCGATGTCTCCGATTGAGACCACATTCATTTCTAGGTTAGTCTCTTGGGTCTAGTAGTGATTTCATCGGTTTAGGGTTTAGGCTTTCTGGCCGCTGAGGGTTTAGGGGTTGGGGTTTGGGGTTTAGGGTTTATGGTCATGATGATTCGGGTCTTTTGCGTCAGACACGCTGGGAAAGAGCAAGAAGCATCGCTGACCAGGAGGTTAGACGCGGAGATGATCGCTGGCAGGCTCGCCGAAGCCCCAAACCCGATACAACATATGCTCTGTATATCCTCATAAACCCTACATGAAACAGGATACATGTACATATTCTTCACCAAGCCCCGAAGCCCTAAACCCTAAAACCTATGCTGTAAACCAAGAGATCAGGGGCGGTGGAAGGGCCACTCAAAAACGAGGCAAGCTAAACGACCTTAAATCTTTATTCGGCATATTCACGCTTCTTGACTAGGCCTTGAGCCCCAAACCCTAGGCCCTGAACCCTAAACCCTGAGATCCTAGGCCCGAACCCTAAGACCTAGGTCCTGATCCTCCCCCCCCCCCGCCCCCGCCCCCCTGAAAGACGCCCTGGACCTCCCTGAACGTGCCTATGATGCCGATGCCGACGAACAGTTGTGCCCATGCTGACGAAGCGCTTTACCTATGCCGAGGAAATGTTGTACCTATGCCGACGAACAGTTGTGCCTATGCCGACTAAGAGTCGAACGGTTTATGTATATAGGTAAGCGTGGTTTAGGGTTTAGGGTTTAGGGTTTAGGGTTTAGGGTTTAGGGTTTAGGGTTTAGGGTTTAGGGTTGAGGGTTTAGGTTTTAGGCTTTAGGGTTTCGGGTTTCGGGTTTCGGGTTTCGGGAAGGGTTTGCGAGTTCCAAGACTAGTGGCATGAGACAGCTTGCCAAACGAGGGCGCTGTCTCCTTTCCTCACGGGCCAAAGGAGAATTGCCAATGCGCTGTTTCAGACCCTAAACCCTAAACCCTAAACCCTAAACCCTAAACCCTAAACCCTAAACCCTAAACCCCAAACCCTAAACCCTAAACCCCAAACCCTAAACCCTAAACCCTAAACCCTAAACCCCAAAAAACCCTGAACCACAGCTCTGCTTCCGCTCCCCAAGCTGGTGCTTCTGCAGCATCTTGCTCATCGCAGGTCCTGAACCCTAAGCCCGAAACCTAAACCCTAAACCCTAAACCCTAACCCTAAACCCTAAACCCTAAACCCGAAACCCTAAACCTCGAAAGCCTCGTAGCCCTAACCCCTAAACCCTGCCCTGAAGTGTAGGGTTTACACCTCCCAAACACTAAACGCAACTTGTAACACCCGAAATCCTCAACCCCTAAACCCCTGAATACCAGGCCACGCCCGCTGCACCTCTTTGCCAGCGGCCATGGGGGGCCGGACCTCCACCTGAGTTGGTTTTGTTTTGTAATTATTTCGGGTCTAGAGCTTAGGGCTTAGGGCTTGGGGTTAAGGAGTAGGGTACGGGTTTAGGGTTTAGGGTTCAGGCACGAGGGCTTGAGGTTTGTGATTTTTTGACTGAAGGCTTCAGGGCTTTCGGCGCTTGTGGTGTCAAGTTTTTTGGTGGCTGAAGGATTTGGATGTGGGGATTTCGGTTCAGGACACCAGTGATTCCGGGGTTTCGGGTCTTCGGGTTTCAGGGTTCAAGTTCAAGGATTTTTGGGGGCTAAAGTAGGGCTGAAGTCGGGTTTTGTGTAGAGTTACCCACGAGAACCTGGCAGTCGCCCCGAAAACGCCCGGCCCTAAGCCCGAAACCCTGAAACCCAAGCAATAAGCGGCCTGGGCCCCTAAGGACCAGCGCCCCCTAAACCCTAAACCCTAAACCCTAAACCCTAAACCCTGAGGCCTAAACCCTGAACCCTGAACCCTAAACCCTAAACCCTAAACCCTAAACCCTAAATCCTAAACCCTCTTTTACCATGTATATTTAAACCCTAATGACCTTCGTCGGCAAATGGTTTTTTTCCACCCGAGGGGGGGGGGGGGCCCTAAACCCTGACCCCCTTCGTCGGCAAATGGTTTTTTTCCACCCGGA